CATATCAGCAGTATAAATAAATTAATATGAAAATAGTAAAAGAAAAGAGGAAAAATACATTTAGAAAATTGTTCGCCCAAATTCTACTCGAAAATCTTTTAAGTCAATTACTTCTTTAATAGTACCGTAAGAATATACCGTAAATGAACATGAACAATGAACAATGAACATGAACAAAGTGCGAAATTTCGACCTAGATATAAAAAAATATCTTGTTTATGTTAATTCAATAATCGGTCTAAGAAGTACATAACATACCATTACGAATTTCAAATATTAATCACTTTGATACCAGAGTCTTTGGTTTGAAGGATTGCACACGGATCTGGCACAATTCTCTGCAGTATCGTCCGTATTGCGACGAATGAAGACGATATCTTCCAGGATGTTCTTTATTATTTTTGTTCTGTTACAACAAACACTTTTCAATAACCGTAATTGACATCGAAGACCAAAATATAAGAGGATTTTTCATGCTACTGGGTTGCTCAAAACACAAGAATGAAAATCTAGAATTTATAGATGAAAAAGTCATATTCGCAGACAATGCAGCCTGGATTATTTAAACAAATTAGGAGAACACGAACGTTCTGCTAATACGTTCTGTAGTCCAAATTAATTCTTTTGTAGATCATATTAATCTTTTCGCAAATCAAATCAATCCTTTTCCAGCTGTAACTCATCCTTTTGCACATAAAATTCACCTTTTCTCAAATGAAATTCACATATTTCTAATGATTTGTAGTAATTTTATAGATTATAATTATTTATACACTTCATAAGTAATTATTGGAGATAATAAAGATTAATTATTTGCAACAAAATTTTTTACTATTTTCTATATGAGTATATCAATTAATATTAAATTTTTTAATTGAATAAAAGGCGGCCAGTCTGAATCGGTTAATTTTATTTGCAAAGGATTCATTTCGAGTGCAAGAAAGGAGTATTAATTTTGAGTGTATATTTGTATATCTACAAATAATTACTTTTAAGTGAAAAATTTGGAGAACTGATTAAACCCTTATTAATTTTTAGAACAAATAGTGTTGCAGATGGACCACCTTAGATTGAACTACTTACACGTGAAACGTGTTTGGTTAACGGTGAATTCAGACATTCGGATAACCGAGGTTCTACCGTAATTAACGACATTGCAAAAAATTGTTATGTAAAATTAAACTTCCCACCGCACTCTTACGTACGGTAAGGTAACGATCCGAATTATACATATAGCGGTCATATAAAAGAAAGGATATTATATAATGTCCCACACCCTAAACAATTCACCACAAAGCCCTGACGTTAATCCTATTGTGCTGCTATTGTGCGGAATAGGTGGGTGATAAAATAATTATGAGATCAGCAGCCAAGTGCCTACTATAACAGAAAATTATGGAAATACAGAATGCCATCAACGAATATGCTACACGGAATTAGTATTCAACGGCGAGCGCAAACAAACTGAAAGCAACGTTCAACAATGATAAATAGTCATGTTGTGTGACCGGTGCAAAATACCGTGCATGTCATCGAATTGTTTTGTAATTTTAGCAACGTAACCTTGAGATTTCGCTCTAGAAACAGACGCGATATCTGTTTAAAATTCATCCGTTCTTGGACTTTTGTCTGCGAGTGTATATCCGCTTTTTCTTCAACCACACAGATCAACACTATTAAATCTCATCGTTTTATCGCTTCGACATAAACGGTCCCGTAAGTATCGCATGTCGAGCAATATAGTAAAACCAGCCACCGTCGGGGAAGGATTAAACAAAGCTACCTTATGCGCCATAAGGCAGATGCGCATGAATAACGTGGCTCAGGAAATGCGACATTGTATTTTTTTTCTCCATTATTCAATAACGCAGCATCGCGTTCGTTGATACGACTTTGACGATTACGCGGGCTTTAGATCGAATTATTTGGCAAACGTGCGACCGAAAATGCGCTGCGTGCGCGACCAAAAGAATATCAAAGGTTTTCGCCATACAAATTTTTTTCGCCAAACAAGTATGCAGTCACGCAGAAACTCTCTCCACGCAGTAATATTATCTATATTCTTCCAGCATACATAAACTAGCACAATGAACTTGAATGGACCTTTTAAGGACCTTATACTGTTATGATATAATATAATTATAGTCATTATGCAAATAAACATTTTTATTTGAATGTCGCCCATAAATTAAAGTGCTCGCAAGGATAGCAACTAGGCATACGTAAAAGAATCACGTCCTATCAGCGCTGAAATATCTTCCAAGAACAACCGGAAATGATTATCGGTATGCTGAAATAAATAGAACGACGTTTCCGTGTGCTCCTACGGCTTACCTAATATTTACGTAATTTCGCAGACGAATAAGTATACGTCTAATTAATAACGTATACGAATTTCAAAAGGTAAAACACGCCGCATTCGAATTGTTTTGTGGTTCTTCGATTTTATCGAATGGCATCGAAGAATAAAACTGTCGTTCGTACGTGTCATCGGTACTTTGTTCGATGGAACAGCGGCCAGGGTGTCGCAGATGATAAATATAATAAAAACGATATAATGCGTCAACTTACCGAATGTTGTTCCGAAGGAAATTGTTCAATAGGTGGATAGATCGTGGCACCATGCTGTTCATGCAGCATGGCGAGATGTGTCAAAGATGCACTTTAACGAGTCTTCTTTCTTGACGTCCAAACACGCGCGACACTCAACCAACATTTGTGTGTTTATACAGAAAAAATAGGGGACAATTTGGCGAGATTTGACGGGCACGCACGTTCATACATCGCCTACATCCACTCACCTGACACGCACATGCACACACCCTCGCTATGAAAAACGCACACGCATCACACATACAATCGCAGGACGGATGTAGAGTTAAATGTATCATTTTTAATTTAACGGGACGAGCACCGAATTTGTCGTTTAACGTGGTCCGCGTTTAATTGAACGATTTGTAAAAACAATGTAACCTATGCCTCTATATCGGAACGTTACTGCGGCCGAGCGAATATAGTGGTTCAATCGTGTGAGAAAAATGATTTTTCGAAAAGCCCGGTTTCCTGACACAAATTGATCGATTTCAATAGAAAAACGAAAGCACGAATGAAACGTAGTTTCACCTTACTAACCTATGCGTAGTATGTCGACCGGTTGTCACGATTACTCAACGAGTTCAAAACATTTCCACGACACTGACTTGTGCAGATATCACGACGGCTGCCATATTGGATTCTCATTCCGCAAACCACCGACGAGATATTTATAAAAGGGAGACAATCTTACGAGATTTCACGAAAAATTCATACGATGCTGGCGGCCTCTCTTGAGACGACAGGATATTCTGTACGCGTGAAACGCGTACGCCAAAATCAATTTTAGCGTGCTCTACTTTTGTCGTAATTAATATTAATCGTTTTCAATAAATATGTAAGTGTAAAATATGAATTTTATTAAGAGTTATAAGCTACTTAATTCAATGATTATATAATTTACAATTACGATTAATATACTTGCATTTACACACAAAGTGTAGTTATAAAAAATTGTCGTTCCAATTAGCTGCGAAAACGGTAATGATGTATAATAAATTATGCTGAATCGAGTTATAACTCTTAAATATATAATTTAAGTAACTTATAAGTTACTTATATGTTACTTAAATTATATGTGATCCAGTGTAATTTATTGAACATCATTACTGTTTTTGCAGCTAACTGAAACGACAATTTTTTATAATTACATTTCGTTTGTGTACAAATACAAATATATTAATTGTAATGATAACGCTAACTGTGTTTAAATCTTTGGTATGTGCAAGGATATTTAATATTTTCAATGTTTGTCATTTTTACAAAATCGGTTAATTCCAATATTTTTATTCAAACATTTATCAATCTCTTTCAGAAATGGTAATAGGTATCATTTCTGCAAAATGTTAATTGGATTAAATGATTCCTTCGTTACCGATTACCTATCGCGTCGATGGATAATATAGCTTTCTAGTTAGCATCTAGACAGAAACTGTAAGAAGACGCAGCTCTATCTTGTTGAATAATCTATGCTTAAAAAGACAACTCGAGGTTTCCCGCGTTTCGAGCTTAAATTTTGAAGATGGCAGGTGCAACCACCGGCGAAGAAAGAATGGATGTAGATATATTACCATCGACTAGCAGCAATAATCCAATAACTACAGAAAAGGATGAAAAATCTTCGCATTTACCATGGTATGTCGTCACAAGTAATGATGTCATTTTTATTTTGTTGAGATTCAAATAATTGAGGTTAAGTTATTATTATCCAACAAATCTATATCAAACAAGTCAAAAACTAATTGTATGTAAATTTAAACTCTTTGTAGGATTGAAAAGTATCGGCCACATGTATTTTCGGACATTGTTGGGAATGAAGATACAGTGTCGAGATTATCTGTTTTCGCTCAACATGGAAATTGTCCAAACATTATTATATCAGGACCACCAGGAGTTGGAAAAACTACTACGATACTGTGCTTAGCACGTATTTTGTTAGGACCAAATTTTAAGGAATCAGTTTTAGAGTTGAATGCTTCGAACGATAGAGGGATAGATGTTGTCAGAAACAAGATCAAAATATTTGCTCAAAAGAAGGTTCCTATATGTAATTTGTTTTATGCTATATCTCTTTTATCATATATATAATTTTTTAGTAAATACTTCATGTTTGTTTGCTACTAGGTAAATCTTCCAAAAGGAAAGCATAAGATAATAATCTTAGATGAAGCTGATAGTATGACTGAGGGTGCACAACAGGCATTGCGAAGAACTATGGAAATATATAGCAATACGACCAGGTTTGCATTGGCCTGTAATAACAGTGAAAAAGTTATTGAACCTATACAATCACGTTGCGCCATGTTGAGGTATGGGAAGTTGTCGGATGCACAAATATTGACAAAGGTCATAGAAGTTTGTGCTAAAGAAAATGTAAGAGAAAAATGTTTATTTCTTCAAAGAAACATTTTATAATGTTAACAATAAGCTAAATTACATATTTATGCATAGATTTCACATACAAATGATGGCTTAGAAGCAATAGTGTTTACTGCTCAGGGTGACATGAGACAAGCCTTAAATAATTTGCAATCAACTTACAATGGTTTTGGTCATGTAAATAGTGAAAATGTTTTTAAAGTTTGTGATGAACCACATCCATTACTCGTTAAAGAAATGCTTGAATATTGTGTAGAAGGGAACATTTCCAAAGCGTACTCTGTAAGACATTCTATTGATTATTTTTTATAATATGAATTCAATTGTTTTATAAATTACTGTTTAGAGCGTATATGTATAATGAAATTGCATTTGTATTATCTTCAGGTAATGGAACATTTATGGAAAATGGGATATTCTGCTGAAGATTTAATTAGTAACATATTCAGAGTTTGCAAAAACCTTTCAATTGAAGAAACACTGAAATTAGAGTTTGTAAGGGTAAGTGAAAATAACGTTTCTATATACTTCAAGGCTTGATAACAGACAAGTTTAACAACTGATGCTTAAAAATATAAGGTATGAATCGTTATGGCAATATGAAACAAAGATCATGAGCAAAAAATTCAATATTGACATCCTTTTCAAATTACGAGAAGTCTTTCTGATTTACCGACAGAGTCGATGAAATTTTGTATGCAACATTTTTTTCTCTCCATTGATTTTTAAAATACTTCATAAAATAGATTTCCCAATACCGTCTTTGAACACTGTTATTTTTACACCTTAAACGTGAGAAAGATCAGTTTTAATATATGTGGAGCCGGTTAATGTGAGGTCACTAATTGCTGTGCCTTTGATTCCTATTCAGACATAAATAACGAATACGATATATTAAATCTTTGTATTCTTTTGTTTTGTTTATTTTTTAATAAAAAAGTTTAATATGTCTTATCCGACAAATATAAAGCTAATTATGTCTGAAAATCAACTACGTGTCGAATGTTTTTATTTCCTACATGCGTGTCAAGTTTTATTGCGAGACTTCAATTAGGTGATGTTATTAAGATTTGGTTTTGTATTCTTTTTTGTAGAACAAATCGTAGTAAAAATATACTGATATTTATTAACAACGAAAAATTAAACGTTTAAGTATAATACAAATGAAACAGTATTTTGAAAAAATTATAGATCATATTTTTTCGATTACAGGAAATTGGGGTAACGCATTTGGGCATTGTAGATGGAATCAACAGTTTATTACAAATGAACAGTCTTTTAGCACGCCTTTGTAAAAGGGCGAGAATGTGTTGAAGACACTTTTTGTAATTATTATATTTTCAAAATAAAATTATTTATACACTTGTATTATGTAATCCTTTATTTCAAAATATTCATTTGGACAAAGATGATCTTACAGTGCACAGTACATTTTACACATATTTTGTTTTGTCAACCGACCCTTTTGCTAATAATCATGTAAACTTAATTTCAGTTTGTTTGTATTCTCTATGTTCTATTTAGATGAAAAAAGATGCAAAATTGACGAAGTTCATGCGACTACAAAGAAAAGACATGTTTTTACCAAGAATTTTTGTTAGTTCCCTATCTATCATAATAATTCTTTTAACTGTTGAATTTGCTACACCAACATAGTCACTTCAATTTCTACAAATTATCCTGTTCTTATAGAGGATAATAATCTAGTGTATTACGTTTGGAAGTATTTTAATTTGTAATTTCGCAAACATCATACAGTAATTACATAAAGAATAGTTTTTCTAGTTTCTTGAAAAGGCGTTTAATTGTTTGCACATGTTATTAATGAAGTGAAGAATAGGAAGAAAAAACAAAAGCTTACAGAAGGTATATCCATTTTAAATTTTAAATTATTCGCCATGTATTATTTTTTAGAAATTCTTCATTAAATATAACATATGATATCTTATCTTGTAAATATAAAATGTTAAAGATAAATAAGTTGCTGCGTATATAATTTCTTGACTGTTTTTAAAATTTAGCGAGCATATCCTCGGTCTATTGCACTCGAGCTTATTCTCAGCCAAAGATAATTCTCAAATGATACACTTGAAAGCAACAAATTTAAGTGTAATTAAAAGACAATTATTTTTTAACACACTTATATATATATATAAGGTAAATATAATTTATAAGTGGAATTTATTATTATAAATTTCGTCTTTGCTTGTGAGCAATGCTTCGATTACAATGGGTTAAACAAATATTCAATGTTTTACGATCCATTATTGAATTTCCTTTTTCATAGATCTTAAAACTATAATTAAAATCTATTTAAAAAATGCAGCATTATTAAATGTTTATTTTTAAAATGATCCCAATCTTAGAATCTTCTTTTTTGCCAATTATTTCTAAATTTAATCAAATAAAGTTTACATCGGTCAACTAAAAATATTTGTTAGGTTTACAATCTCTCTCATTGTCGAATTTTTTTTACGGCTAACGTAAAGATTAAAATAATATAGAGTGTAGTAAATAATGTAATGCGAGTTCTATGTATATTATATCGAATGACGAACATGAGATAATCAACTTACAAATAACAATACCAAATTTACAAATAAGTTATTTGCCATTTAAATCGATTATTTATTTACAATATTTTTACCAAAATTATGGAAAATGTATTGTACCATTCATACTTGAAATATTTCATAGTTCATTAAAAATATATTGATTAATGAAAAATGAGAATGACAAATGTTTTATTTTTCTTATGTAAGTTTTACGAAGTCTGATTTATTTGTTCAACGATGGCAAATATTCTACAGTGCTGACTGAGGCGGCGCATTAGAAAGAGGTGAAAGAAAGTTCGCTTGCATCAAGACAAAGATTATTATGCGGATATTAAATCATAAGTTCCGGCGATTGTCTTTGATCACTACATTATTGTTCTTTTATTGCTTACGCTGTTCTTACATACATGGTACTATGGATGAGTATTCTGTACAATTAGAATACAGCGCGGAGGGGACAAAATCATTTATTATGCTGAGATGAGAAAGTATTAAAATGTTAGAAACTGCTAGGGCTAGAGACAATTGGGCAAACTTAGTTGTAAACTAAGTTAGTTTAGTTGTAACTAACTAAACGATTATTGTATGATTCAATTCATTAACATGTTAAATGGTGTACGAATTTTGCGCGTTATTAATTATTCAATACTGCAGATGTTAATGTACACCTAAGTATAGTTCAATGGAGTCATTCATCAGTGATCCAAGTGACATCTTTTGTTTTCCAATTGTCAATGACACAAGACACAAATTCTTGAATTTGATATTTTGAGCTTCATAATTTTGTTTATTAGTGTCTTTCTTTTTGAAACTTTTTTATCGAAAATACATTCCTAGTTTGTAGGAATCAAACTTACATACTTTTGATTAGTCATCTTCTCATCTCTTCACGGTATACATTGTTGCTATTTATGAACTGCGTTGATTTAAATAATCGAGTATGTTTAACAGACTTTGTACAAAACGTCAATTCTAAAATATTGACAAACACCTATTGCATTTACGTCAATCAGTGTACTTTACATTGTCGATTATATATAATTAAAACGGAGCTCAGTGACTAATTTGCAAGGGGATATAGAAAATAATGAAAAACCTTAATCATTTTGCGTATACTAGCATATAAGGTTTAAAAGAAGTTTCACTTTGCAATTTTCGAAAACAATTATGTCACACAATATAAGTATATGTTACGACTAAACTGCGGATTTTATGCATGTATATGACGAAAATTGGTATA